AGATCTCTGGGAATGTGAGCAGAGCTCTGAAATCAACCTTGGGTGACCCAGCTGGGCTCTGGGGCTGTGCCTCTGTCCTGGCCCAAACAAGTCTGGCTTTGACTGGAGCTGCTTGGGGAGATGTTGTGGCTCTGTGGTGCCTTTGTTGGGCAAACACAGACATGAGCTTGTGCTGGTGCGTGGCCGGAGCCAGAGGAATCCCGTGCTGAGATACCAGCGCTGGGTGAAGGTTGGCGCTGACATTTGCTCTGATTATTTTATTTTACTCCAAAGCTTTGCTGACCTGAGCTTGTGGAGTGGTCAGAAAACAAATGTCTCTTACAGCCACTCCAAGTGCTTAAGCCAGTTTTTATGCTTATTTTCATTATTTTGTTATTATATCTTGATTGTATGGTGCAATTGGGCCTTTGCTGTTAATTATTCTCCTTTGCAGTAAATCATGGGATGTGAATGTTCATTGTGTCCTGATGGAACTGATGCTGGTGGTGGAAAAACAGGGTGTTACAGGTGCTCTGAACCTCCAAAAAGTGGGGAAAAAAGTAATTTATTTTTCAAAAATAACCTTATTTTGATGCTATTTGGTGCAGGAAACCTGTCAGTTTTCTTTCTGTGGTTATCAATATTTTTTTTCCTAGTCTGCCTGTTGTTTCATGGGTGTTTTGGGAGCAGCTACACTGTGCTGCTTTTCTGGAACAGCAAAGTATCTGTCTTCACACCATTTTTATTTTAAACAAACCCCAATTCTGTTACCATCTGCTCCATTCAACAGGGAGGAATTTCAAATAAAATCTGAGTCCTTCTCTCTGATAGCCACAGGGGTACATTTTCTAGGCTTAAGGCTATTATTTTTTAAATTGTTGGTAAAACTAAGTAGGGCATTTGCTATTAGAGAAACTCTCTGATTTTTAGACTAATAGATGATTTTATGGAGTAAGTAGAAGTGGGAGTAAAATGTATCTTAGAGAATGTGTGGTTCTCTGTGGTATGGAAGCGACAGGAATTTTTGGGCACAGATTGATGTGGAGTAATATTATTTTGGATGCCTGATATCTCCAAACCCTCCTCCCAGCATCCTTGGTGACACTGCTTTGTAAACTTCCCTCATGCTCCTGATCTCTCATTGATTTTTTTAATGTTTTCCTGACAGCTGGCCCCAGAGAACACTCTGATGTCCTTCCAGAAGGCGGTGGAGCAGAAGGTGTCTGGAGTGCAGGCTGATGTGGTGCTGAGGTGGGTCAGGGCTGCTCTGTGGATGATCCAAGCAGGAATGGCCCAGCATTCCCAGAGTCTGGGCACTGCAGCTTTTCCCTCTGGGAAGGGCTGTGCTGGAGAGCTCATCCAGTGACTCCTGTGTGTCTCTGGCAGATGCTGCTGATCTTTTCACTGAGGGGATGGTGAAGGGTGGGCTTGTCCGAACGAGGGAACCTGGATCTCTTTGTTGTCTTCATTTGCAAGAAGGCTGTAGTTCATCCTAGAGCCTGGTTTATTCCAGTGAAACACAGCCAGAGCTGCTTAAATGTGACTTCTCCTGGGATACCCCAGGTGCAGAAAGAGCAGAAATTCCCATTGGACTTTGTAGAAATTCCAATTGGACTTGGTTGCACAGCAGAGTTTTCACCAACCTTGACAAACCATCCCAAGAACACACCAGGAGGAATCTCTTCCTTCTCCCCTTCCTCTGGCATTAATCTTTAGGGAAGGAGGATGCTGACTGTCAGAAACTCATTCCTTGCTGGCAAATGTTGAGCTGAGTGGCCAAGACCAGCTAGAATTTAGAGAGGGGCATTTCCAGGGCTGTGCTTTGTTCCAGGAGTTTGATAGTTCCTTAATATTCCTTAATATTCCTGCCCCCAGTTTGTCCCAGTACCACTTACAAACACAAGAAAGACTCAAAGCAGATATTTTATTTTTTCCCTGACTGCTTTGAAGGTTTGTGTTGATGGACAGATATTTTTGCCTGCTAGAAGGAAGTTTTATTTTTAATTGCTTTCTTTTTACTTTGTATAAATTTTTTGGAGAAAAAATTATTTAAAAACAAGGAATTTCTTCCCACTGGTGATTGGAAGGTCACTGTGGCAGGATGAATTGGGATGTATGTTATACAATTTTTGTTTTTTCCCAAATGAGTTTATCAGCTGCTGTGAGGGGACAATACTTGAGTGTCCAGCTCCCAGGTGAGCACTTGGCTCACGTGGCTGCATCCATTAACACTGGCCAAGGAGAAAGGTGGGCTTTGGGAGGAGGAGAGCTGGAAAAGCTCCAAGATCCTTCCCCATTGCCACTCAGCAGCACTCCAGGCTTCAACAATGCCCCTGATGGCCCAATTTCCTGAGCCTTCTCCAAGAGACCCAGGTGCCTTCAGAAAAAGAGGATTCCATTGATTTTCAGACTGAGAAGTGGGAGATTGGTGCAGCTGGCAGCATCCTTGGGTTTGCAGCACAACACCCCTTGCTCTCCTTATCCTCTTTGTTCCTGTGGCTGGATGGCTCCATCCCTCCTGGAACATTTCCATGTTCTTCTAGACGTGTAGCAGCTTGGACAGGCCCTCAGAGCCATCACATCCCAAAGCACTTGGAAAGCCAGCTTTGCTCCAAGCAGCCAGAGCCCAGAATTGCTGCCTGTTCCTCTCCTTCTTCCACCCCATTCCCACATCTCTTCTTCTAAAGCTCAGCTTGTTGTCTCTGAATTCCTGCTCTAAACCTGGGCCTGCCAAGACCCTGTGGTTGGCCCTGAGTGGTGCTGGCAGGGAAGGGCTGGAAAGGATGGAACAAATGTCAAGTGCCCCAGAGGATTTCTGCACTGTGGTTAAGGCTTAGCAGTGCTCTGCTCCTCTGTGAGATGTTAAACTCGAGCTCCTGGCACTTTTAAGCACTCCACACTCTTCATTCTGCAGTTGCTGAGCTTTTTGATTTTTTAAATTTTATTTTTAACTGTATTTATTAAACCCTTTGACTGCAGCAGCGTGGGATTGCCGTGTCAGCGGGTTGCTTTGGGCTGGGGGAAGGAGGTGCCACAGCACAGGCCAGAAATAGCAAATAAAGGTGCCACTGACCTTTGTCAGAAGGGACTTCTCACAATTTTAGAGGATGGAGCAAATGTTGCCTCAGTGGTAAAGCTGAGGCAACATTTGCTCCATCCTCTAAAATTTGGTTTAATTTTCCCTCTGGGAAACAACTCTGGGTTGTCTCCTAATTCAAATGGGATTTTTTATTTCACCCTATCATTTTTCAGACTTTTTCTGAGTCTCCTGTTAGGAACATGGGCTCCTTGCTTTGGGAAATGTCATTGCCACCAGGCTGGGTTTGTCCTGATTCCTGGGTGCAGACAGCTGCACCCCTGCCTTTGATAAAAACTGTCACTACCCTGTGTGGTTTCACCACTGATCTGGTCACAGAAAACAGAGTGGAAGAAAGTTTAAAGAGCTTTTTATGCTTTCCAGACCATTATTCTGTAATATCCAGATGACTTAAAAACCCCAGGGCATGCATTTGCCTGCTTAGTTTCATCTGAGAGGTGTCAGGTTTTTTTTTTTTTCTTTTTTTAAACATGAACTTAACTCATATGGGCACAAAACCAGTTTGCAATTGAAGAAGGCAATTTCAGAGCATTTTTGGTAGTTTGGGAGCCTTGCATCTTGCTGAAAGCCTGATGTGAGAGGCTTTGAGAATTCCTTTTCTTTCCTGCTGTGTGTTTGTGTCCATGCATCCAGGGAAACCTCTGATGGTTTTGGGAGCTGCAGAAGCTTTGATGAGCGTTCAGGGTGGGTGTTTTTAAGTCATTTGAAGTCAAAGCCACCTGAGTTTTGCATTTTTGAGGGGATAAAAGTGGATAAGGCATGGACAGTGTTGTGTCAGTGACTGCCAACACCCAGCAGGTATCTAAGAGAGCTTTTGAGGATGCTGGGCTGGTTTTAGGCTGCGTGAGGCTTTGCCAAGGATTTTGATGTGAGACAGGCTGGAGTGGGAAGGGCAGTTTCTCTCCTCCACACGTGTAAGGGGTTCTGTGTTTGCAGCTATGATGGGGTGCCCTTCCTGATGCACGACAAGACTCTCAGGAGAACAACCAACGTGGAGGAGGTGTTCCCAGAGCGCGCCTACGAGCACTGCTCCATGTTCAACTGGACTGACCTGGAGAAGCTCAACGCTGGGGAGTGGTTCCTGCAGGTGGGTGCCATGGGATCCATGGGATCACAGCTCCTGCCAGGTCCCCTTTGAGGGGGAAAGGTGTGGGTCCATCTCCTTGGTGGTGTGGTGCAGCTGGACCATGTTTAGTTTAGGCTTGGTCTAAGCCACATTGTCTTTCTGTGTCTCTTCTGGAAAAAGGGGCCTCAAGCCTGGCTGACACCACAAAGAACTTCAAGACCCCCAGTTATAATCACTTTTTTGGGTGATTTTAAACAAGACGGAAAAACCAGCGTGTTATACACTGTTCCCCTTTTTTTTAAATTTAATTTTGGGACAGTCATCTCCACAAAGAAAAAAGTAAGAAAGTCTTTGCACTGGGGGATCCTGGGCTTTGTGGCAGTAATCCTGGGATGTTCTTTGCTTCCAGAATGACCCTTTCTGGACAGCAGGGTCTCTCTCAAGGGCTGACTACTTGGAGGCTGCCAACCAGTCGGTCTGCAAGCTGGAGGATATGCTGGAGGTGATCAAGGACAACACATCCCTGATCCTGAACTTCCAGGACCTGCCAGCAGCTCATCCCTACTACAGCACTTACATCAACATCACCCTGGAAACCATCCTGGCATCGGGGATTCGGCAGCAGGCTGTGAGTTCTGTGGGTTTGGGGAACTTTCCAAAATCCCTATGGTTTCCATGAATCCTTGTGTGTCTCCAGTGGGGCATCACTAGAAGTTGTGCTGGGCACGGAGGTTGGAATGGAGCACCTGCTACAGCTCAGGAGAGGTTCTTTCTCTCTGGGTATAAGGAAATTTATTTTTTTTTAAGTCCCCACTAAGACCACAACAGAGATGGAGATGAAGAGCAAGAGAAAGATCATTGAAATATAGATGTGGGGATGTGAGGTGGGATTTCTCCCTCAGGTTTTTGGTTCCCTATTGAAAATGCACATGGCTGCTTCTGTGCTGCTCTGATGCTTTGGTAGATGAGTGTCACTGAGTTATTAAGACCAGGCTACTTGGAGCTAGAGAAAGGTGTTGGAATGGCAAGGGACTGGAATGAGATGACTGTAAAGGTCCCCTTCTACCCAGACCACTCTGTGATTCCATGACCCACTTTACCTCTTGCAGCTGAGCGTGAGCTGTTGACTTGACACGCTTTGGAATCACGGTGTGAGCTCAGGGAATTCCATGCCGTGGGCTGGATTTGGGAGCCACATTTGCCATACCCTGTGCCCTTTGTTGCTGCCCCCACAGGTGATGTGGCTGCCGGACACGGAGAGGCAGCTGGTCAGGCAGGTCGCCCCTGGTTTCCAGCAGACCTCTGGCCTGAAGCTGGACGCAGAGCGCCTGCGGGAGAAGGGCATTGTGAAGCTCAACCTGCGCTACACCAAGGTCACCAACGAGGAGGTCAGGTACTGCCAGAGCCCTCAGCATCCCTCCCTGAGCATCCCAGCCTGTCTGCTGCACACAGGGATCTTTCCAGATGGATTTGCTCCTGAAAGCTTGAGCTGGGCAAGCTTTTCCCTGCCCGTCATCCGGAATCCAGGCTGTTACTGGGAAGGCACAGCTGCCTCTGAAATCTCCACATGCTGCCTCAGGATATGATGGGCCTCTTTGAAATACAAATGTATGAATTGGCTGATTCTTATTGCACTCACAGTTCTGGGAAAAAGTGAAGGCCTTTCACACTGAGTTCCCTCAGAGTGCTGCTTCATCCTCATTTACAGCTGCCCTTTGTCTGCTCCAGAGCTGCTAGCATGGAATTTTGATTAGCCCAAAGTCTGGATATGCTTTCAGGAATTTCTCTTTGCAGAAAGAGAAACTCCTGTCCTGTATCACCTATTTAGCTCTTCTCTGTAATGGCCCTGGCACAGCAAGGTATTCCTGTGTGTGAACTCTGTGGTGTTTTAGCTCCCAGCTTTGCCCCCTTTCCCAGGGAGGGCAGATTGTTTCTAGTAGGGCTTTTCTGGTTTTTAAAATGTAAATTAAACAGGTTTGCAGCAGAGAAATACCTCCAAAGGAGCTGTCTGGCTGCATGGTAGAGCTGAAGTAGGGAAGAGCTGAGCCTGCTGCTGTTTGAGAGCCTGGCCCTGTTTGGGGAGATCCAGCTGTGTCCTTCTGTGGCTGCCAGCAGCCAGTCCAGCTGCTCACCCTTAAAACTAAGGTTGTGCTTTACCTGCAGGATAATCCCTGCTTATTTTTCCTCCTGTTTGCTCTGTCCCATGGCGAGGGCTCTATGCCAACTCACTCATCTATCCCAGTTTAGCCCCAGTCTCCCATCAACCCCACCTGAGCTGTCTCCAAAATAAGAGCTGTCACTGAATGTTTCTTGAGCCCTGTGGTGCCCAGCCAAATGTTGCTGCAGCCCTGGTTTAACACAGTTCTCTCAATTCTCCCCAAATCCAGCACGTGGATGCAGCATTGCTGCAAGCACCCCTGCCCTTGAGCACCCCTTTGGAGCACCTTGTTCCTGCTGAGAGCTGGGAGATGTCTTGCACTGTGTGCCCTCCCACCTCAATGTGTTCTGCCAGTGCTAAATTGCAGGGATTAATCTGTGCTGCCCGTGTGAGGGGGATTGTTGATGCTTCTGCTTCATAGATGAGGAAACAGAGCAATTTATGTCAATTATCTGGGTACCAGGTAATTGCCAGTGTTTCGTTTGCTGCTGGCAGTTTTAGCTGCTTGGAAAATGACCTCAGGAGACTGGAAGCTGTAAGTCTGCAATTGTCCCCAAAGCAAGGGCATGGAGTTTGTAGGAGGTGATGTTGGAGAGAGGTCTGCCAGTGTTTAATTAAGCAGATTGCCCCCGAAATGTTCCAGGCGTCTGAGGCAGATGCTAATTTCGCATCAGCACGATGAGATGGTTGTTCCAGGAACACACCATGTCCATCATTCCTGGAGAAGCATCTGAGATGGTCTGGGGCCTGTGCCAGACAAGGGGTGAGGGAAGCTGTCAGGATCAAACATTGCCCTGCAGTGCTCACGAGGCGCCCACACCCTGTTCAAAACTTCCCACAACTCAAACCACACAAACCCAGCTGGGGCTGATGGCAGGAGAGAGGTTTGGTGGCATCCTGCATGTCACCCTGTGTGTGCCCTGGCAGGGACTACAGCATGGCCAACCTGAGTGTGAACCTGTACACGGTGAACGAGCCCTGGCTGTTCTCCATCCTCTGGTGCGCCGGCGTCCCCTCGGTCACCTCCGACAGCTCCCAGCTCCTCCGCAAGGTGCCTTTCCCCATCTGGCTCATGGTAAGCACTCCCTGCAGGGGCTGGCACCAGGAAATGCACTGGGGGGTGTGGGGGGGAGAGGTTTTCCAGGGAGGTTTGCCTGGGCTTGAGGGTTTTCCCTCTCTGTCCAGATGAGCCCTGAGATGGTGATGAATTGGTGCTGCTCTTGCACAATCCCATCTGTTTGCTCTTGCACAGTCCCATCTCTTTGGGTGGGATCCTTGAAGACTGCATTGCACTCCCTACTCAACCCACATGATTTTTCCAGTTCTCCTATGAGGGAAGAGCACCTTTGCAGACCTGCTGAGCAGCTGTTAAGAGTTGCAGGAGAAGCAGGATCAGAGGTGAACCAGCAAACCTGGCCTCTATGTCTTGGCCAAATTGTAAAATTAGGTTTTTGCCTGTTCTGAATCCCAAATTCAGGATTTATTTTTGTTTGCCCCATTGCTGGACAATAAGCAGAGACCCAATGATGGTGGCTCAGCCGGTGTGATGACCACTTAGATTTGCAAATGGAACCAGACCTACCAGTGCCTGAAAGGACAGAAATCGCATTTACAGTATGGGGCTGGGCCTAAAAGGTCCCATCTGCACTTAAAATGGACCCTACATAGATATATTTACCTGTTTTGCCCCAGACTTGGATTCCCAAACAGCATCTTGCCCTCACCCTGAGGTACAACTGGGATAGGAAACTTTCAGCCCAGAGAGCTCTGAGAAAATGTCAGCGCACAAAAAGGAGGGAGAGTTTCGAATTGTTCCTGTTTGCAGTTTCCCCTGATAGTTTTGGATGACAGCCTGGCATTAGGAAGGTCATAAATATTGTGATTTATACCTAACCCCTGCAGCTCTGTGCTTTTCTTGCTCCTCAGTGATAACTCCAGCCATGTGTGGTCTCCCTGTGGTTGCACAAACCCAAATGTTTAAGGTCTGCTCCTGTTTTCTGTTTTCTTGCAGCCTCCAGACGAGTACCACCTAATCTGGATCACGTCTGATCTCATTTCATTTCTTGTAATTGTAGGAGTTTTTATATTCCAGAAGTAAGTTTGTTACAGCTCTGCTCCTGTGTGTTTGTGACCTGTGGTTTTGTGCAGATTGTTGGGTGAGGGTGGGAGAGAGGAGTACCCCGAGCCTCAGTTCTTGGATTGCAATAGCAGGGGAAATATTCATTAAAAAATCGTTGCAAACAATAATTCCACCCCCAAGGTGGGATGGAGAATTGGATGCACCTTTTATGAATGAGAGATCACAAGTTAGTAGTGTCAGATGCCTTCCTTTGCTCCTAAAATATGTGGAAGAGAAACTGTAAATGCCTTAGGGAAAAGGATGTTGACAAAGACATCACAGTGCTTTAAAGGAAGAAGAGGGGAGGGATTTTTTGATTCCACCACTACAGTGTTCAAAAAGAACGTGTTACAGTTGTCTTGAATCAGTTTGCTCCTGTTTGGATGTAGAAATATTATGAAATCATGCAACGCTTTGGGTTGGAAGGGACCCTAAAGATCATTTAGTTCCAACACCCCTGCCACAGGAGGGAGTTACTATGGGAAGTGTTATGATTCTGCAAATCAAATCTGGTGCTTAGCTAGAAAGAAAAAAGAGAAGCTCTGCTCCAATAGCTGGACTTTTCTGCAGCAAAAGGCTGGCTCTCCCCAGAGCCCTGTGCAGGACAGAGCCCTTTCTCCATTGCAGTTTCTCCACCACATCAAAGAGTTGCTAGCAGGGTTGAGGATGTCTCAAAACCAAATCAGAGCACAATTGCCCAACTGCCACCTGCTGATGTGATTCAGCTCTGGGGAAAGGGGCTTGGCATTTGGCCCTCAGTGTCTTGGTTGTGTTTTTTTGGTGTGTTTTTGGTTGGTTTGGTTGGTTGTTTTGGTTTTTTTTTCCCCAAGTCCTTTCTGGGGCACACCAGAGCTGCTTCCTTCGCACAAGGATGAGGGGTGGGTGGGAGGAGAGGCTTCAATGTGCTTGTGCTCTGTCCTCTGCATGGCTTCTCTCTCTCAGCCATGGTAGGGACTGCTGCTGCTCTTCTGCTCCAGCCCCATGACAGGATCCTGGCAGCCTCTCCAGAGGGGGAATACCAACTGTGATGACTTCTAACTAACCTTTTTTTGCCTCTTTGCCTTGTTTATTTTCTTACTGCTCTGACTGTTGTGCATGTTCCTCCTCTTTCTCTCTCTGCTGCATTCTGGCATCTCACAGCTATCACATGATCAGGTAATTCTGGTGCTTTCCTCCTCTTTCTCTTTTTCATTCAGCCTTCCTTTCTCTCTTTCTTTCTCCCTCTCTGCTATGGCTTCACTGCAGATGGTCAGGGCAGGATGCAGCTTTTCTGATGCTTTCCAACATCTGGCTTCAGGAGGGGACCGTGAGGGTGTGAACATTGCACAGGCCATAGCCATGAGCACCAGGGAAGGCTGATGCTGAAGCCAGTGGATGTTTTGGAGGCAATCTGACCTCCTGTGACAATGATCTGAGTCAGTGCCTTTTAAAACAGCCCGGTTCTGAGGCCACACTGTAATTGGGAGATTCCCAGAGGATGTAATGATTGGGAGATTCCCAGAGGATGTAATGCTTTCTCTGTGGAAATAATCCCATGCAAAATATCCCCTTCCTTCCTGGATTTACCAGAGATGTTTGAGACCAGCCTATACCCCAAAGAAAATCATGGAATCTATTCAATTATACAAAGTAGCACTTGTCTGAATGAATGGGGCAGATAACTGGAAAGGTTTGGCTCATCAATTGGGATCTTGCTGAGTTGCACCACTGTGAACCTGGAAATAGAGTGTGAAAACAAAGAGCACTGCAGCAGGGGAGGGAACTGAGCCTGGGGTGCTGGATTTGAGGTGCCATCAGTCAGAACCCCAGATTGCTCCTCGCTTTGGCCCTTCCCTCACCAGTCATTCCCACCCTTTGGAGGGCAGTGCTGGCTCTTGTCTGCACTAAAGCCTTCACTGCCTCCCCACCCAGACCGAGCTCTTCACCTGTTCCCTTCTCCATTTCTCCTGCTCTGGGCCATGGCCTAGCACCCCTGAGCACTGGGTTGCCCCCATCCTCTGCCTTGGGGTCAGGGTTGGCCCCTGAGGTGTCCATGAGGTGCTTTGGTGTTCTGGTCCCGTGGCATCTCCCAAACAGGGCTGGGCTGAGCCCTCCTGTGGGTGCAGGGAGCTCGGGTGCTCTCCCCTTCTCTCTCCCCTTGCCCATGGATGAGAGGAGAGGCAGGCTTTAGGCAGGCTTTAGGCAGGAGCAGGCACACCAGGGGGACTCTGCAGATGGCTTGGCTCTGTGCTTGCTCCATCTTACCACCTCAGTGCCAATCAACCCCATTTTTCCTCTCCCACCCCCTTTCCATGGCATTGAGCATCCCCCCTCCGCAGCCCCCGGGGTCTGGCCGTGGCCCTAACCCAGTGTATGCTGTCTCTGTGTTGTTGTCCCAGTATTTTTTAGTCTGTTCCCACCCCGTGTCCGTCTGGTCTGCTCTGACGCCAGCCTCCCAGAACAGGACCTTCCTGCTGTCTCTGGCCTTTTTGCACGCTGCTGTCCCAAACCTGGGCCACCACAACAGAGTCCAAGGGGGTAGGAGAGGTGCTCTTTTCTATTCAACCAGCTTTCTGGAGACCCCGAGGCTTCTGAGCACAGCACAGTTTTACATGGTGTTGGTTGGAGTTGCATCCTGGTTAAATGTGCTGGTGGCCCTTCTGAGGGGATATTTCAGAGAGATGGGGTGACCCTTTCCTGGCTCACCCCTGTGAGAGGAGCCACCATCTCTCCCTGTGGGTGTTTTACCCTCCTGGCTCTGCCCACAGCCACCACGGGAGGTGGAGAGCACAGAGCAGTGCCTGCTCCCCTGGGCAGCAGGGGAAAAGCCCTTGGTCCCTGCACGTGTTTGGGGCTGGGCTCTCTGTGCCTCAGAGGGACCCCTGTCCTCCCTGGGATAGCTGGGGTCTGTGGGCAAGGGGTCACTTTTGGCCACACAGTGACTTGATGCTGAAAATCCTGGTGTGGTGGGCAAAGAGAATACTTGCACCAATGTGTTTTCATCCTGATTTAGAGTTTGAGGACGATCTTGTACTGTGAGATCTTGCAACCACATTAGTGGGATCTAAGGCAAAAAATGCAGGGGATACTAAGGCAAAAAATATGTTCTTCCAAGTCAGAGTGGTTCAGTTTAGATGATGATGATAGAAGAAAAAAAATATATTTGTTTTATACTTCAATGTTTTTGCGTCCTTGTGCTTCCTCTGCATTGCTTCTGTCCATGGGTCTGTGAGTTGTGTCGTGTTGCCATCCCACCCCTTCCTTTCTGTGTGGCCTCCATCTGTACCCTGCTCAAAGCCTGATTCAGGTCACCCAGTGTCAGGCACTGGGACTTGGGAAGGGGGTGGAAACCCTACAAAACTGACACCAGCTACATTTACCTGGGAAAGAAATTGCAGAGCCTCTTTTGTGGGTGTTGATTTGTCAGGTTGATGCTGTAGACCCAGGCTGGAGATGTGTGGGCTCCTGTGGCTGGCTAGGGGGTTAGAAATTGAAGAGGAGGTGATTGTGTTGTCACCTTCTCTTGTGTGGGGAGCCACTAGATGGTGCCAGCAGATCAGAAACCTCATAAGCCACCCTAAATCCCTGCTGTTTCTTCATCAGATAGTTTCAGGGCATCCCTGGCTCTGGCAGGGAGAGTGGGGTTTGCTGATGGCTCGGTGGGGTGTGGGCTGTGAAAGCCTGGCCTAAACATCCCCTTGTGGTGGGATCTTGGGAACAGCTGCCTTGGCTGAGCCCACCAGGCTGTGTTTCCCCTGTTCCAGCAGCCCACCTGCCCCTCCTCATGGGGGTCTGCCCCAGGGCTGCTCTCAGTGTCCCCAAGTGCCACATGCACGTGGCTGCTAAATCCCTCCAAAGTGGGCACTCCACCACTGCCCTGGGCTGGAGAGCCCTTTTGGGGCAGGAATATTTCCTGTACCAAATCTAAACCTCCCCTGTCACAATCAGAGCCCATTTCCTTGCTGTGCCTCAGGTTTGAAACTTTAAATTGTCTCTGAGCTCTCTTCTCCCACAAGCCTGACCACAGTGAGGAAAAATTTGTGGTTTCTTTACTTGGCTGGTTCTCTTGTTCTGTTCCCTCTAAAAGTTTAAGCACCTCTGTCTCCTTTGCACAATTGGAGAGGGCTGTGAGACAGCTACTTGTGGAAATAGTTCATGGATTTGTGAATCCATGGGTCTCATTCCCAGGTGGAATTAGGGTGCTTAGAGATGCCTGAGGTCACTCATCTCTGATCATGCTCCTCCACGCGGGGTTGTGCAAGGGAGCAGAGGGTCCCTGGCACTGAGGGCGCTCCTGTTGGTGCAGGGCAGTCCCTGAGATGCTGCTCCTGCCTTGCAGGTGGCGCCTGGGCAGCATCAGGACCTACAACCCCGAGCAGATCATGCTCAGCGCCGCCGTGCGCCGCTCCAGCCAGGACGTCAAGATCATGAAGGAGAAGCTGATCTTCTCAGGTAGGGATGGGGCTGCTGGTGCCTCCCCCAGCTCTCAGCCCACTGAGGGAGGAGCTGCTGTGATTCAGGGGTTTTTCCTGCTGTGGGTCAGGGGACTGGGCTGACCTTGGGATATGGGCATGGCTCATGGGGGTTGGAATGGGATGATCCCTAAGGTCCTGTGCAGCCCAAACTGCTCTGTGATTCTGAGGCCCATCCCAGCAGTGCCGAGCTCAGAAATCCTGCATTTAGCTTCCCAGGTTATCCCATCTCACACTGTCCCACATCTTCTCCACTCACCATCTTCAGAGGCCAAAAAACGCACTAATAATGGCACATGTGACCACAGACATGGTGATGAGGTTGGGGTAGACCTGGAATTCAGGGGCATTCCTGATATCCTCATGCTCCTCCCAGAGTTCATTTCTGTTGGAACACATTGGCAATGTGTCCATCACACTCCACCTCTAAGAAAGATAGCAAAAATGAAAATGTTTAGCTTTCAAAGGTTAAATGTGGTGCATGAAGCTGGAAAGCTCACCTTTGAAGGAATGTGAATATAATCCCCCCACCCCCTCAGCTTTGTTATGGGTTTTCTTTTGTTGTATTTAGGGTGTGGAGATGCCCAGCAGGGATCAGGGTTTAGTGCTCTTTAGGGCTGTTTAGGGCACAGACAGAGCAAAAAGGCAACATTGCTTGCTGTGTGAAATGCCAGCCAGAGGGGCTGAAAATCAGCTATAAATCCAGGGAACCCAGACAGGGAAAGCAGCTTGGCACAGCACAATTAAGCTCCCCTAACATGTCCTAGACATAAAATCCCTTAGAGGTGGGGGGTGCAGAATGAAGTTTTGTGCCTCTGAAACAATTCTATTGCTGCTTGCTTAGGGTGGATGTGAAACATTAGAACCATTAAAACATTGGTGGGTGCAGGTTTTTCCCAGTGAAAGCAGTGACTGGAGGAGCCAGACCTTTTCCAGGGTGGGCAGGGATCAGGTTCAGGTACTTTGTAGCACTCTCCCACAGGTGACTTGCCCAGCCTGTGACAATGACATCAGGTGTAGGGGGATAGGGATGGCAGGGGACATCCAGCTCTGTTTTGGTGGTGGCTGGATTTTGAAAGGCTGAAATGTAGAGCTGAGCTCCAAACTGCAGGCAGAGCATGTTTAGAACTGGCTGTAAATGAGAGCAGGTTCCTAATTCCCTGTAGGATCAGAGGGATGCCACGTGCTGGCATTGCTCAGCACCTCAGTTCCCCATCCAGGGGGAGGCTCCTGGGATGACCTCCCTGCTTTCTGTGCCCTTCCCAGAGATCAACAACGGCGTGGAGAGCACGGATGAGCTGTCCTTCTGCTCCGAGAACGGCTTTGCCAACGAGCTGGTGACACCCACGGACACCAAGCTGCGCATCAACTGAGGCTCTGCCATCACTGAGGGCTCTGCCACCAAGAGCTCTGTTATCACTGAGGCTCTGCCACCGAGGGCTCTGCCATCACTGAGGCTCTGCCATCACTGAGGCTCTGCCACCAAGAGCTCTGTTATCACTGAGGCTCTGCCATCACTGAGGCTCTGCCATCACTGAGGGCTCTGCCATCACCAAGGGCTCTGCCATCACTGAGGCTCTGCCACCGAGGGCTCTGCCATCACTGAGGCTCTGCCATCACTGAGGCTCTGCCACGCTCCTGCAGCGAGAGCCGTGCTCTCCTGCCTCCCTCCCTGGGATGGGAAGCTCTGAGGAACTGCTGCTCGGGCAGAAACCCCGCTCCCACTCCCCACCACTGGCTGCTCCACCTCCCTGGTTGTGAGGCTGGGGGGCTTGTTTTTGTAAATATGTAGAAAATCTGGAAATTTTTTTTGTCTTTTTTTTTTTTTTTGAGTGTAATTTTTCCAGGGCATGAGTGGAAATACTGTGTTCATTAAATCCTCAACCTTATGGCTGAAGTTCTTGGATCTTGATGTGAGAGCCTGAGTCCCCTTGGGGGGTTTTGGGAACAACACATTGGATCTGTGTCCCATTTCTCTCCCTTTCCCTAATCCAGTCCTTCCCCCGGTGCAGCGACTGTGTAGCTGAATGTTGTGGTGTTCTTGTGAAGTGTTGATTTTGTTATGGTTTCTTTTGTTTGGTTTTTCCCCCGTTCCCCTCCTCCAGGGCAATGAAATTGCAGCTCTGATGCAGCAGGAGGCTGCTGGGAGAAGAGAAGCTTGCCTGGGAGAGGAATCCTCGCTGCTCTTCCCTGCTGAGGTTCAGAGCCAGGGAAGGGCTTGCACTGGCTCTGTCACTTGGGCACCTGCTCCTGGTGGCACCCGCCTTCCCCAAAGCCTGGCTGCTCCGTGGGGAATGGCCTTCTTGGAACGTCCTGCCAGAGTTTTGAAGGCAAATCCTGAGCATTGGCTGGAGATTGGTCTCTGCTGGCAGCAGTTCTGGATCTCTATTTTTTCCCCTTTTTTTCTCTCTTCTCCCCAGCTGGGCTCTGCTGGGATCTGGCTGAAGTGCCTGCCACTCCAAGTGGCATTTGCAGTCACTCCTTGCTTCCCTTCTGGAAGAGGAGCTGCTGCTGCACTGGGAGCTTCCCGAGGAGATGCCCCTGGGTGAAGAAGTTGTAAATAGTCTGGAAGGCGAAGCAGCCCTGGGATGTAATTTATTCCTGCAAGGAGACCTTTGCTCCTTGCTGTAAAAGCAGGATCTTTAAAGCTGCACACTCGTGTCCTCCAAAGGAGGGATGGTCTTGCAGCAGATGCTGTTGGGATCTCAAGGCAGAGGCTCCCATCAGCAAATTTCCAATGCAAAAGGCTTTAACCCAAACTCTTAGACCAGAGGTTAAAA